ATTCTAATTCCATGTGCCATAAGTACAATCTTTCAGAGACAATTTTGGTGGGACCCTAAGGTCTTAGGTAATTAGGCTCACATATTCAAAATACAATAATGAAGTACAGATTATGACTGTATGATATGTTGTTGATATATTTATATGTTCACTGATAAAGGCAAAGTACTTAACTGTTTTTATTAGCCATTCCCTATCCAATGATATAACAATATGTATATCACAGATGCTTGATTTAAAAGCACACTATTTGCATAATCTTTATTAAAGCTGTATCCTTTGCTTCTGGTAAAACAATTCATTGAAGGATGATGCGTAAGGTCTCTACTTTCTAGCTATTGGCATATGTTTCTGGGTTCAACAAAAGAATTTGCATCCTGTCCCATCCCATGGTTAGCAATCAATAAGGGGCTGACTTCTATTGCCGTGAGAGCTAAACCAAAATAAGGACAATAATTAAATAAGACATTTCAGGAAAAAATTAATAGAGTGAAACAGATATATAGGCACATCCTGGCAATTTTTTAAATTGTAAGAACAGCAACAAAATTGTATATGTGCCAAGGTAGGAAAAACAGGGTTTATAAAAATAAAACTAGGCTTCTCGGACATTTTCTTTACAACTCTAAAGTCAGAAAAATCATGGAGCAACAGGTATGGGATTTTGAGGGAACAGAACTGCTAGCCAAGGATGTTGTACAATTCTGTATTTATTTCTTGTGTGAAGTCAGCACCAAAGCATGCTTAGATCCACACAGACTCAGAAAATCACCATTCCTGCTCCCTCCCTGAAAAATTTATGTTAAAAAATATTCCAGTCAATGAAGAAATGAATCAAAATTTAGAACTCAAAAAAAAAAAAGAAAGAAAATTAGGAAACTGTAGTCCAAAAGAATTTCTGGCACCTCCCTTTGTTTAACCTACCACATCAGCCATGCGGTTGGATTCTGGGCTGGCAGCTGGTATGGGTGTCCAGGGGAGCCAGGCGGGACTGCCCCTGGGGCACATCTTTGGCTTTGCCTCTTTCTGGAAACTGGGACATGAGCTTGCGTAGCCACAATCAACGGACAATTAATATGGACTCTGTTGTCATGACCCATAATCCCTTAAAATGATGTATGCTGAACTACTCTTCCAGAATTTTCTAACAGCTACACCACTTGCTTGTGGGAACACTGTCCCAGAAGACTTTTTGAGGAAGTATGTGTTTCTCCCTCACAAACACAGCAATAAAATAAAAACCAGATTAAATGCCATACTAAATGCCAAGATACCTGAATAATGATTTTCTTAAGTCACCCACAATGATGACTCTTTTTAATTGGAAAAGATTGATCTCTCACAAACACATTATTTATTGTTTTCTAGGCCCTCCTAATGATGTTTCTTTGTTATCTCAGCTTAAACATAATATACAGAGAAAAAAAGACTTAGGGAAATACACCAAGATGGAAGTAGTGGCCATCTCTGTAGGTGCTAGAATTCTGGATGATGGTATTTTTTTCTTTAAAGTCTTCAGTATTTTCTCAATTTTCTTCTGTGATTATGTTTTAGTTGTATAAAAAGTTGCTAAAATTAGGGGTTCCTGGGTGGCTCAGTCAGTTAAGCATCGGACACTTGATTTTGGCTCAGGTCATGATCTCAGGGTCATGAGTTGGAACCCCGCATTGGGCTCCACATTGGGCATGGAGCCTGTTTAAGATTCTCTCTCCCGCTCTCCCTCTGTCCTCCCCCTGCTAGCTTTCTCTCTCTCTAAAAAAAAAAAAAAAGTTGCTAAAATCAATATATATATTAAGTATGAACACAAGATATTATCGCATTGATTTAAGAATACACACAAAATTGTATAGCAATAGTTATAACTAAGTGGTAGATTAGGTAATACTGTTTTTCATAAGTACATATTGCTTTTATAATTAAAAAAAAAAAAGACTAATTGGGGGGCACCTGGGTGGCTCAGTCGGTTAAGTCACTGACTCTTGGTTCTGCTCAGGTCATGATTCATGGGTCCTGGGATCAAGCTGTGAGTTGGGCTCCTCACTCAGCGGGGAGTCTGCTTGAGATTCTCTCCCTATGCCCTTCCCCCTGCTCATGTTCTTGATCTCCCTCTCTCTCAAATAAATAAATGAATCTTTAAAAAATTAATAAAATAAAAAAGAGTAATTTCATTAAGAGAAAAAGTGTAAAAAATGTTGGAGTCATTCAATACTTCATGGATTTTAGAAGGAGGAAAGGTAAACACTGAAGAATGCTTTTACTATTACTGATGGTAAAGAAAATCTGCCCCATATCTTTTCCTCTAAGGTGCAATTTCTATTCTCTTGTATTTACAGCTCCCTTTCTGCACCCCTAAAATATATCTATTATTAAATTTGAGTTCTTATAACTGGCTCTGTAAGATTGTGCCCATCTAATGCTTTAAATTCCATCCCTCAGGCCTTCACTGAAATATGTTGCTAAAATGCTCACACTCCCCCAGTGAGTCCAGATGTGTTAGTCAAATACTTTAAATAGATTTGATTGCAGGTTTGGAAAGGCTTCTCTCTTCCAGTGTCTTTATTTTTTTTTTTTAAAGATTTTATTTATTTATTTGAGAGAGAGAGAATGAGAGACAGAGAGCATGAGAGGGAGGAGGGTCAGAGGGAGAAGCAGACTCCCTGCCGAGCAGGGAGCCCGATGCGGGACTCGATCCTGGGACTCCAGGATCATGACCTGAGCCGAAGGCAGTCGCTTAACCAACTGAGCCACCCAGGCGCCCTCTTCCAGTGTCTTTAAAGGGGCTGGTGTTAAATGTTTTCATTTTTCTTTTTCCTGCTCTAGTCCTTGTATCTTCGGCTTGTTAGTCCATGCAACTATTAGTTTTATAATTCTTCTATATCTGAGGAGGACAAAGCCAAATCACAATGACTGATACAAACAAATAAGTGAATTCGTTCTCCTGGACACTTACCCTAGGCATTCCTCAAGCATTTGTATTGCAAATGCAACATGACAATGATATCTTGGTTGTAAGATTCCGTTAAAATTGCTGCCAACTTCTTAGGATCATTAGTGGTTGTATAGGGGTCAAACACCAAACAAGTAAGAACTATTTATGACTGCTGGAGAGAAAGAGCTCTAACCTTCACACAAAGCATTCATCCCCAGGTATGTTTACATGCGTCAATATAATAGTGGCTCTTACCTCACCCTAATCATTTTTTCTCCTGGTTATATCTTCCTGAAGTCCTCCTATGTATCCTTTCTCTTGCACTTCCAAATAAAATGCAGCAGGATAATAAAGAGAGAAAGAAAAAAAAAAAAATGCCAAAAGTACCCCTGAGCCTAGAAAGCCCTTTTCAAACTGACTTTGTTTCAAAGGCCTGGGTTTGTCTGTGGAAGCCGAACCCACATGTTTGCATACGCTTAGGGACATGCTATTTAACCTCTGGAAGCATATACTAGTCTGCAAATGGATTACCAAAACCCAAATGAAGCTTCTGAATCTCATTTCTTGTTCAAAAGAGCAGTAGGTAATGAAATATTTAGGAGAAAGGATTGGTTTCAGGAAATCTTTCTGTGGTGATTTTGAGAAGGAAAGAGGACGGTAACCAATCGTGGACAGTGAGCAGGGCAAACAAATCCAAGTCACACTTGGTTTTATAACTGTGCACACAAAAGCTAAAATAACGCCTAATGCAAGATGGTTTCCTTGAATTCTCTCCAGGGCCTCACCAAGGACTAACTTGTATGTGACATAAAGAATAAGAGATTCCCTGGAGACAGACCATACTGGAAATACGCCTTGACTACCAAGTCATCCCACCCACAGGTCTGTCTACCCTATCAGATGTACATGGACAGAATTTGGGGAGATGATAAATAATCTTCAGTCTCAAACTGTATGAATCTCTACAGTGATTTACACCACGGGAGCGGGGAAAAGCCTCTGTCCCCTCTTCACTTCTGCTGGCTGAGACAGAGCAAAACAGACCAATGTGTCCAGGCTCGGCACAAGACAAGAGTTGTAAATCTGAATTTCTCAGAAGCATTACGAAACAAAATCAGAATTCCTTGACTGGCTGATAAACAGAAGAAAAATTCCTTCTTCCTTTCCTTGAGGTGGAAGTTCAGCCTTTTGTTTCAAACTTAAAGTGCAGTCTGCCTCTATAACACAGAAATCTCAGATTATGTCCCCCCGGCTGCATTTGTAACAGAGGTCCTTATGAGTTTTCTCAAGTCCCTTATAGATACGGAAATAAGGTACTTTATAGTCTAGATATTATGAAAAAAGAAAAACAACCTAACACTGTGCTATAGCAGTTGTTGCCTAAACCAACAATGCCTATATATTCAAGATGTAATATTTAAGCGTTAGAGTAATAACACAATTAGTGATATATGAACTAGCCAACTATTCACTTGACCACGTTAGAAAAGATTTCCTTTCGTGTGTAAATAGTTTAATCTCGATTTATAGTAATAAAGAATAACATCCAAACGCATTATTTTGGGGTCTGGAGAATAAAGAAACTCTATAGTTTTCAAATCATAAATTATTTGATAGATAACTTATCTGGGAATATATTTAAAAGGTAGGGTAGATAAGGAACTGAATGACACTCTACAGATTTTCATGCTAGTAAAAGGAGGAAAATGTGGGTTTTTTTAAAAAATATTTTTATTTATTTATTTGAGAGAGAGAGAATGAGACAGAGAAAGCAAGAGAGTGGGGGAGGGTCAGAGGGAGAAGCAGACTCCCCGCTGAGCAGGGAGCCCCATGTGGGACTCAATCCCAGGACTCCAGGATCATGATCTGAGGCGAAGGCAGTCGCTTAACCAACTGAGCCACCCAGGCACCCTGTGGTTTTTCATATGGGAATTTATTTTTTAAAAACTTAACCAAGAAACAGGATAAAATCTTAATGTTTACTCTTACTTTCTAATTTTAAAGAAACATCTGCCTTCCATGGGTACAAAAAATTCATTACAAATTTGCTTGTCAAGAAATAATCTATTACAAGCAACACTTTGTAGCACATAATCCAAGTGTGTCTGACGCAATTTGGCTTGCTATGGCAAGAAAGTCTCACCTATTCCAGCACTCTCCTCCATGAGACCACCTTTATATAGACTTAAACAGTGTAAAGTAAATAAATAAATAAAATAGAAATTAATAATTAAAAAGGAAAGACTCTAAATTATATTTTCATGTGTACTGGTAATGAAAATGACAGTAGAAAATTCAGCGAACTGCAGTGCAGAATCCATATAAGGAGGCTGTAACAGCCTCCTTATATATATTGAATACATTGAAATATATTAAATATTACAAAATTGCAGAAAGAGGAGGAACAAAATTTCTAAAAACATTTTGATAACATAGAGGAAAACATCATGATCATTTTTATACTTTCTTGTACCCTTTGAAAGGACAGCACATTCACAGGACCCTTCCACGGACAAGTCGGCCAGTGTTGACAGGGCACATAATGGTGCGTCATTCACTGGAGGAAGAAATTCAGTGTCAAAGAAAAATCATCCCCAAGTGGAAAGGTTTGGTTTTACTCCTTTTCCACAGAATTGATCCAAATCAAAATAGTCTTTCTTTCTTCCTTTTGTTTATGAACCAGAATAATGGGTTCATCCAGGTGAGCACTGTCATTTTTCCTAGTGTACTCTCATGAACAAAGATGTCCTTTTCCACTACAGCATTTGGTTTCTCCCTCTAAATCTGCCATGTTCACCAACACAACATTTAAGGTTCAGCAATTCCTATAGGGAAAACACCCTCAATAACTGGCTTCTGTTCCTAAATAGAAACTATTTCTAAAGGTTCTTTCCCCAGGAACACTTTATTTTTCATTAATTTTTAATGATTTCCACTTATATTCTGGAATCAAATCTTGGTTAAGACTAAATTTGCCAATATTCCAGTAGGAGGTCTTTGCAACCTTATTATCTGTTTCAAGATAGAATTCACAATTAAAAGCAAGAGAAAAGGAAAGCCCAGTATTGTGGGAATTACCTCATCTGATCCTTTCTTTTCTCCTGACTTGGAAGGTGATCCACTGGTTTTTCCACTGACATGCTATAAAAATATAAAAAGAAAAGAAAGAAAGATAATGTTTAAAAGAAGGAGGTAATACAAGATAATATAATAATAACTTTAATCCCGAAGGACTAAATATGTAGCCTGTAAAAACAAGGACCCCTTTAATCTTCCTTCTGAAAATGCTGGTAATTCTACACTGACATAGATGGTTTTCAAAAATCAAGAGAACCTACAGACATTCATTTGGGATGTAGAAAGTCAGTCTATAATTAACCAGACACAGATCTGATGGTGATTCCAAGGCGGCATCTCATCTCCTACAAAATGCCTCACGCAATTTTAAAGCCCAAATTGCCGGCATGGGAGACAACGTGGTTCCTCATGGAGTTTTGATGTCTAAGGTCCATGTGGAGCCTAAAGCCATACTTAAGCCTCAGTTCAGCATGGGCTCAAGGGAGGAGCACAACTTTCAAGTCCGCCATTGCTTCTGATGGTTCTTGGGAATTCCTCAGAGTTCTTCCCCAGTTATCTTCCAGGAAGACAAACCCTGCAGGGGGAAGACCATACCCGCAACTTCTATTTATTATGGCTTTAGGATTTCATTATGTCCAGAAACAGAATTATTTTTCTCACCAGTACAGTGGGAATGAAAGCAAGTATTTTTATGTGGCACATAAAACCTTCAGGTAGCTTACATACTCATTTGTCTTGATGATAAGATAAAATGAGCCATAAAGTTTACTGACTTTTTTTGAGAGATTAAAAAAAAAATTATATTCCCAAAAAGGGTTACAAAGAATTGTTTCATTTCTTGCACATTGTGGGATGTGCAAGAAAGTGGGAAAAAATAATCTAAATATAAGGAAATAAAAGCTCATGATTGGGTTCAATCCCGACCATCTTCAGTTAAACCAAAATACAAAACTGTACAACATTCCCTAAAGCAAATCATAACCTGGATATGTAAGTCAATGAAATTATTTGAATTAAAAAGAGTGGTAGTAACAGTAATATTAATAAAAATTTATATCATTCTTTATTATTTACTATCATACATATTCTTATTTGATACAAAAAAAGAGGCTCATGTGATTTTTAGGGATGGAAAAACTAAGAATAAGAAGAATTCATTGATCTTTCATAAGGACACAGACCTAGTAAATGAGAAAAGTTTGCATAGCAGGTTTTCTGACTTACAATACGTTGTCACTATAACATGCTAAATAGAATAAGGTAATATTTTCTTTAGTAATATCAACATATATTTTAATTAAAACAAGAATCCAAGAAATATCTGACACATGGATGAAGCCTTGCATTAAGAGTTCTCTGTATGAAAAACTAGGAGGAAATCACTTTTATGCATGGAAAATTCTTCCCAAAATGTAACACTGTCATGGATCAGTGAGTGGAATCCACTCCATGAAAAACCCCTAGGCTTCAAGAGCTTGGTGAATGAACCCCCGTACAGGGCCTGTTCCACCTTGATGTCCTAGTCTAGCATTTGTCTGTCCACAGTTGAGGGCAAGCAGTATTGAGTAGTAAATGAATCTGGGAAAAAAAAAATCTAAAAGCCCACATATATATCAGTGCTAGATGGTAAGAGGTAAGTTTCAGAAGATTCCTGAAGGCCAGACTAGGGGGAAGAATCATTCACCATTTGCAGACAGAATTTAAGAGGGATAGATCTACAGTGACAGATTGACCCAATCTGGTCTCCTTCCAGACTTGGTAAATTTAGAACCCTATCACACTCACTATTATGTCCAAATCCCTATCTTTCTCAGATTAGAGACAAACATTAACAACAACAAAAATGCACTGTTTTACTGAGCATATTGAGTGCCTCATCACTCCTCAGAAGGTATTAGTATTCCACTTTACAAATGAAAAAGCTTAAAGAGGCACTTGCTCTTGTCAGGCATAAGGTTCCCTGCTCTGTACAAGGTCCCCTCTGCTTCCTGCTCATGTGGCAAATATATACGATGACACACTGCCCTACAGTAAATGTGCAGACAGCCCTTTCTCCTTAAAATTTAGGTATAATGATGTTTTTCTTTAAAAATTTTTTAAAAGGGGCCCCTGTCTGGCTCAGTCTGTAGCGCATGCAACTCTTGATCTCATGATCATGAGTTCAAGTCCCACATTGGGCATAGAGCTTACTTTAAAAAATGCAAAAAAAAAAAAAAAGTAAATAAAAATAAAAGTTTTTAAAAAGTCATCTCCTGGGGGTGTTCCAAAATTTCAGTCCTCCAGATTAACCAACACCATCAGTTACTTGTTTCCATTTAAACACTCAAAATCCCTCAAATTATGTAGGTTCTAAATAGTTTGGGATGGATATATATGCTAAATACTTTTAAAATGTTCAGTTATAATGACAACTTAGAAAAATTATGTACTATAAGAATTGGTATTTTGTGATTTCAAAAGAAATATTTGCTCTTAGTAGAAAGCTTTTTTTTTTTTAAGATTTTATTTATTTATTTGACAGAGAGACAGCGAGAGAGGGAACACAAGCAGGGGGAGTGGGAGAGGGAGAAGCAGGCTTCCCGTGGAGAAGGGAGCCCGATATGGGGCTCGATCCCAGGACCCCGGGATCATGACCTGAGCTGAAGGCAGACGCTTAAAGACTGAGCCACCCAGGCGCCCCAGTAGAAAGCTTTTTTACAACATAAAGTATAATGACATAAAAAACACCATCAAATGAGACCATTTTTTAGGAACTCTATGGATTATATTTTCCCAGTTTTTTTTTTAATCCAGCTTTTTTTTTTTTTTTTTTAAGTAGGCTCTATACCCCAACACAGGGCCTGAACTCACAACCCTGAGATCAAGACCTGAGCTGAGATCTCGAGTCAGACGTCTAACCAACTAAGCCAGCCAGGGGCCCCAACCCACCTTTTATTACAAAATTTTTCTAACACACAGAAGAGTTAAAAGAATAATACAATGAGAATGCATATTCTTACCACTTAGATCCAATAACTATTAAGATTGTTGCTACATTTTGCCATATTTGCATATATTATAGACAGATCTATCTCTCTATCTGTATTTGGATATGTACCTGCATTTGAAAGTAAATTGGTTAAAATTTTACCCCTAAACATTTCACTAAACATCTCCTTAAATTGAAGAATTTTCTCCAAGTAACTCCAATATCATCGTCACTCTAAGAGAATTAACAAGAATTACCGAACACCATTCAATTTCTAGTAAATAGCAACTTTATGAATGAACCATTGCCCTGACCATTTCTCAGGGCTTATTCAATATCCATCAATCTATTAACAATATAAATAGTTTTTGCTGAGAGATATTCGAAGTGCCTGATTTTTTATTTATTTTTTAAAATTTATTATCTTTTTAAAATTTGAGTATAGTTAACACACAAAGTACCTCATTATTTAATTCATGGCATAATTAAGCACATTCTACATGACTGGGCTGATGCAAAGAAATATTTGGGAATGATTCACGTCAGATTCAATCAAGCTTAGGAAACCTGTTGCAAGCCTAAGAGGGAAGAGAGAAAATTCTGTCCACTACAACGTGCAGTGGGTGGGGTGGGGAGAAGTGAGAGAAGCATGGAGAAGGAAAGCACTGATAGGTCCAGAAGAGAGCCAAACCACAAAACTGATAAATCCATGGAGGACTTCTCTAGATAAGTGAAAGGAAACGAGTATGTTCTAAGCATCTACATACTGTGTGCTAGCCCAGTGCTAACCATTTCCCCTAAGAGATCTCCTTCACTCCCCACAGCAACTCCAGAGGTCCACACTGTCACCTCATTTTATGGATAAAGAAATTGAGGATCTGAAAGATGAGGTCCTCCTCTGTCACACCACATATCCGGATTATATTCTATGGGCCATAGACTGGGCTACTCTGGATCTCGTGAAAAGCTAGTTGAGATCATGGGACTCACATCAAAAGAGTCTCAATCCAGGGCACCTGGGTGGCTCACTTGGTTAAATGACTGACTCTTGATTTGGGCTCAGGTCATGATTTCAGGGTCATGAGATCGAGCCCCACGTTGGGCTCCTGCTGGGTGTGGGGCCTGTTCAGGATCCTCTCTCTCTCAAAAAAAGTGCTGTGCCCCCCAAATTAAAGGAAAAAAAAGTCTCAATCCAGTGCTCTAAAATGAAAACAACAAACCAAAACAGAACCTTCCAATTGTGAAACTGGTTTGCTTTATAAAATCAATCAAACATTCAGTCCTGTATTAATAGCTGGAGACCAAAGACAGGAAGCGCAGGATGCTAACCCTAACGCAGTAGAAATTGGATGGGGAGAATAAGGCTACAGAAGACAGTCGACGCATGGAGTTAAGATGAAAGACATGGTATGTGTGGCAGGAGTTCAGAAGCAGGGAAAAAGCAGATAAGGGACTTCACCATCTTCCCTCAAAAAGAAATAATTTTCCAAACTGTTTTCACCCCCGTGGATCACTGTGTATTTGGCAAGTGTAGCTGGCCTCTGGCCTCATTGGAGGGGAAAGCTTTTTATATGCTTAAAATTTTCTGCTACAGCAAACGCATAAACCTGTTGGGAAATCAACAAGAGCCAAGAGCTAGTAAGGCTGGCAGCCTGTGAGCTCCCCGAGCCGAGGACTTGTGCTGGTGAGCATCTGTGCACCCTTCCCACTGCTACCCAAATACCCTCTGAGAGACACGCACACAAGGGCACAGGTAACACAGAAGAAAATAAAAGCAAACTTCTATACATATATAAAAGAAGAAGGAAGACAGAAAAAAAAAAACTGAACTTTTACAAGCGCAAGCCCAGCTGAGAGAGTACAAATGCTATGTGCTTCTGAAATGCCTTTGCTTCTTAAAAAAAAAAAAAGTTGGGGTTTTCTTTTAGGGGATGACAAAAACATTCTAAAATTAAATAGAAGTGATGTTTCCACCACTCTGTGAATATACTAAAAAATACTGAATTGAATTGTATGTTTTGATGGGTGAATTCATAGTTTGTGAATTATATTTGAATAAAATTGTTTTAAAAAACAGTAAAGGTTATTCGAAAAC